CCCTCTGCTGGTCCAAAAGCAAAACTACAGCAAAAACGACAACGACAAATGTTGACCAAGGTGCTGACAATTAAGATGATCAAAAGAAATAAAAACATAGGGAGACATGATAAAAGCTAAGAAAAAGAATAATAAAATGAGAAGATTTGAGTAAGAAATAAGATAAATAACAGTAATACAAACTCATTCTGATTTAAAACTCATGGAGTAAAAGTGTGTTTTCAGACTGGTTTTAAAAGTGTCCAGTGTTGAGGAGGTCCTGATGTAAAGGGGCAGTTTGTTCCACAGTTTAGGAGCAGTTACAGCAAAGGCCCGATCTCCTCTCTGCTTTAATCTCAGGACAGCCAGGCGCATTTGATCCACAGACCTCAGTGAACCACTTTAAAAGATCAGAAAGGTGTAAGGGTGCTAACCCGTGCAACGCCTTAAAAACAAATAATTAAATCTTAAAATTAATTCTAAAGCTAATTGGCAGACAGTGTAATGATGCCAGTATGGGAGATGTGTGTTCTCGCTTGCATGTGCCAGTTAGGAACCGTGCTGCAGCGTTTTGGACCAGCTGCAGTTTTGTGTTTGACGTTTATTCAGCAGTGTGAAAACCCTGGAGGAACCCACCCGATGATTAATAAAGCTTTATTTAATCTCAGCCAAACTGATTTACTCACGAACAAATAAAACACTGAAAGAAGTCAAGCAATAACATTATTAGGTTATCTAAGTGACTTATATATCATGTTTAACCTGAGTAGCGAAAGACCGTGGGGGGTTGAAAACTATGTGTCGGTCGGCTCAGCTATTTGAAGTTTACACAGCTACATTCTCGCCTGAAAATATGTTAAAAGTTTATTTTGCGACCAGAAAGAGAAATAAGAGTAATATTAAAACTAAATAGCTGCCGCCATTGTTGGAAACTGGAATTGAGACGCCATGAATTCTGGGATATGGTTTTTCATTTTTGTTGTCCGGGTGGAAAATCAGGAGAAATTTGGGAGAATCGTGGCTCCGGGAGATTTTCAGGAGGGGCATTGAAATTCGGGATTCTCCTGGAAAAATCATGAGGGTTGGCATGTATGTCTATGAGAGTGTGAAAAGGGCGCCGGTTTAACTCAGGCGACCACATACCATACAGCTGAGAGCGGCCGGCCCGGGTTCAAGTCCGACCTGTGGCCATTTGCATGTCTGTCCCCTTCTCGCTCTGCCCCCGCTTTCCTATCGTCTCTTCACTGTGTCTATCAAATAAAGCTAAAAAAGGCCAAAAAATATTTAAAAAAGAAAGAGTGTAAAAGGTCTTCAATGAGACAGTTTCTTCACATCGAACAACAACCCTCCCACATCTGTTTCTACCACAACAATTTACCACAACGTTCAGTTAGAGGCAAAAACAGACGATAACACTTTAGTATAATGCAATTTATTTATTGGTTATTAATTCTCATTGCAGTCAAGTTTAAAAATGATCTTTGCCAGGTAAGAAAGAACAATTGGAGTGAAAGTCTTAAAATGAAAATAATTTTTACTTGAACAGTAAATGATCAGATTTCATACAATCGTAAAATCCTGATCCACACTCAAGTTGATTTTGTCCAGATGAACAAATTACAATCATATGGACTGATTAATCTGAGGCACAGAGGTGCAGAATGATTTAGTTAAATAAGTCTCCAATCAGTCAGTTTGTCTTATCTTCTGAACAATAATTAGGTAAAAAGAAAACAACTTAAGGATTTGTGATCTTTTATGTAAATTAACATGATCAACAGCTCTGCTAATACCAGCACTACTGCTTCATTTAGTCATTTATGTCCATGCAGTAAATTTTTATGAGTGTTATTAGCGTTATTCTTGTTGTTCTCAATCATGTGAACAATAAGACTTGCACACATTTGATTTTTTGTTTTTTGTTTCTGTTTTTCTGACCAATCACAGTATTGCACATGTTTGTGGTATTTTAGCTCCCGTCCCCTGCAGGAACCACACTCGTTTCTCCCAGCCTGGGTTGGCCTCTGATTTCTCTTCCTCGATCAGCATGTCGATGTATTCTGAGATGGACAGAGGATCTGGTTTCAGTGCTATCTGTTTAAGCGTGTCCTCACACTTAAACGACATTTTCGCCAATTCCGTCACATCAGGCAGTTTATCAGAAAATACACTTTCCAGTTTTTTAACCAGAGCCTCAGCAGTCATCTTATCATCGGTGACACCGATGCTTTCTTTCAGCTCTCTGACTGATTGTTTCCGTGTATCCTCTCTATACTCCCATTTTTTCTTCTCGTTGACATGCTCTTCCCACGAACATTTGCTTGGGCACACAGTGCAGCATCCATTTGAATCCATTGCAGCACAGCAATTTTCAGCTGCATCCTTTTTCACAGGACAGGGATAATGGCATGTAAACTTACACTTCTTACAGTTGGTACTGAAATTACCAGCATCCTCCTGCTTAGGGTTCATGACTGTAACTTCAAATTCGGCGTTCTCATTTTTGTTGATCTGCGCCTCAAACTCTCTTAGTTTTTTAGTTGTGTCTTTTAGCTCCCGAAGCCCGACTGACCGCAGTCTGCTTAATTTCCACCAAGCTTGTCCTACTATTTCATGCTGCCTTCTTTGATTGAGGACCTCGTTGGACTGTTTCAAGCTTTTTGCTTGTGTGACTTCTACAGAATCAAAAAAACTCTTCATGTTGTTTGTGCTCATTTCCCAAAACATCTGACCAAAGTTTTCCTCTTCTTCATCTTCGTAAACAGTGTCGTCATTCTGAGATGATCTGTTGTGTGCAAACAAGGCTGAATTATTAAATTTGAAGTGTACAGGCAGCCCATCATCAGCTGTAGGTAATGGGACACCTGAAGCTCTCACTGTCTCTAGAACTGGAGGTCGCTGACCATCTGCAAATGTCACCAGGATCCTGATGTTTTCTGCCACATCTTTGCCAAAGATTGAGAGCATTGAATCAAACACGTATTTCTGTGTTGTGGATCTCACTTGAGCAGCCGGAGCTACAAAACACACAGCATCAATGTCAGTGACACCATGCTGAGCAGAGAAGAGATTATGTAGCTGCTCTGTGATCGCTCTGTCTCTTTCTATGCCTCTTGTATCTCCAAAGCCTGGAGTGTCAATAATGGTCAGAGAGAACGGGATTTTAAATCCATCCTGGTGGTTGATTTTGTAAACAGTGACTTCAGAGGTCTGACTGTGAGCTCGTGATGTTGACTGATCCTCATTAATGAATTTAAACCTGAAACTGTCCTCCCACTCTACACCAACAATGTAGTTGATCATCCCATCGATCAGAGTGGACTTTCCTGCTCCAGTCGCTCCAAAAAGCATTATTGTACGATTCTGCCTCGTGCTTTGTTCTCCAAAGTTAAACTTCCTGCATCCATCTATGTTCATGTGTTCTTCTGTCAGAGGCAGTTTGTAAACTGAGGGGGAATCAGATTTGATCGTTTCCTTTTTATCTTTGAGAAGTTCTGCGAGGCGGTTAAATGTTGTGCAGACTTTAACAGTGATGCTTTCTTTGCTTTTTCCAGCTGAACCACAATCACATCTGACCCTGACTGCATATTCTGTATCTGTCTGAAGACCTGAAAGGATCACCTTTTCACCTGCTGACTTTGTTTGGTTCCACTGCAGAGCTTCCTCATTATCA